CAATCGGTACGTTATGTAAGAAATGTCAAATTTTAAGTGTTTATGTAGTGATGAAGAGCGTGCAAGTTCATATTTAAAAAAAAATCCCAAAATACACCTACTAGCTGACAATATTTGATGATATGTGTTTAATATCTAGGATAAAGACAACTTATATTTTCATGAACGTAACATACTTTGTGTAACGTAACACTTGACAGACAAACGTTCGTGGCTTCTCGGACTCTCTCTGTAGCTCTTCTTATCGAAATGTAAACACATTTGCATAGAACACTGGAGAAAATTTTAATATTCATAACCTTTAAGTCAAATGTATTTAAGAAGAAGCATCTCCAAGCTCCATTCTTAAAATAGAACGTAACGCCCACTTGCCATGACAGACACCGGAAGCATCCCACAGATTTGTTTATTTCTAAGCACACGTGCTTTTCATTGATAAACAGGTAAATTTTCTATCAGTAGACAATAAAGATAAAATAGTTTGCATAAACAATGGCCCATTTTATAACAATGTACCTGGTGTATTGAGTCTGACAGACGTTACGTTCAAAATATGAGAAGAAATAAATTCCAATTTTTCTTTTATTTTAGACATAATGTGCATTAAAATACTTTTGTATATTAATTTTATCCTTCCTAAACAGTATTGAATGAAGATATTCTGTGTACAAGGTATTATCGCCGTATATTTGATTTTTATTTTGACATGGTTGAAAATGTCCCCCTACACATGCGTAATTCTAGTGGAATTATCAAATTCATTTCAAGAAAAAAAAGTAAGTTGATGAAAAAATCTGATTATTTTATCTTTTTTTTATATTTGCAATATACTTTTCAATATAAAACATTTCTTATTTCAATTTTTTAAATAATTTATTTTATATTCCTCTTGTTAAAATCATAGGTCAAGATGTACTCAAGAGCGAATTTAGAGCCACTTAATCTTTTACTCAAAGCAAACACGAGAATAGAGGATAAACGAGTGAAAATTCCCGTATACACCCCAGTAATGCTTTTATTACTGAAAAGAGGAACAATTCCTTTTAAGCGTAACTATTACTGAAAAGGGGAATTGTGCCCAACCTGTTAAGTCATGCAAGAATAAAGGAAGTATTCTTCTGTGAAGTAGAAAAATTAGTCGTAGATTACAATATGTACTCAATATGTGATGAAGGTTGAATACTATGAATGACGCAACAAATCGTTATTATGTGAAGAAAATATACAGATAGAAATTACAAACATATGTTAAATTCAACGATTTACCTTTTTCAGTAATGGCGTCTGTGTGTGTTGTTAACAGCTGGGCACCGTGTAATTCATGGACTGGAAGTATGGAAGGCGTTTGGACCAAATTCTAGGGTAAGATTTTTTAAAACATAAATGGAAAAAAGATGTTCAAGAAATTACATTATTTAAGGAATCACTGTCTAGTTTGTTTGATACGTATGTCAGGGTATCAATGATAGTTGAAAATGCGGGATAATTTGCATAACGGACGAAGCCTGTCATGCATAAATTATCCCACGTTTCCATCTGTCTGTGATGTCCCAAGCAAGACTAGATGGTCTTTTTTATATTTACCTTTATATGTGAAATAAAAACGTAAATAAAAATAAAAAATACTGCCTTATAAAATACATGAGGCATTTCATGTTAATTTTCTTAGTCCATGCCCACTAACGTCAGACACAAATACAGCAGCGAAAGATTGACATGCATATTAAGCAGTTGAAAAGTCGGTCTTTCTGGTTGTTTAAATGCAGTTTCTTTGAATGTTAAACATATCCATCAAGAGCTATTAAGTTCAGAGTTAATAGGAAAGAAGGAAGTTATTCAATATTACACTCACTTGTTCATACCTACATATAAACGATTTACCATGGCAATACCTATACATGTGAACGAATTTGCAAAAATCAAACAAGCTTGTAACATTTTATTAATCTACATTGTACAGCTATGTGGTCAAAAACCTATAAAACTTTTAGTAGAAAACAGAATCCCTTAAGATTCTTTGCAAATTAGAAAAAGTTTACGTTCTCATGAACTACCGTGGGATGAGTAAGAATATTTCCACTGTGATGTAATTGAAGTCCAAAAAAATATTGCAAACTTTTTTTTCAAAAAAAGATCCTTGAATGACAAGAATATGTGGCAAGTCATCAGAAAAATAATGTAAATATAAGATATGCATTTAATGTTTGAGAATTCATGAGGCACATGAACTACCTACGACGCTTCACGCCTGCATTTTTATTATGAAGCGCTAATGCGTGAAGCGTCGTAGTTCATGTCCTCATAAATTCTCAAAAATTTAATTCATCTCTTAAATAACAACACAGTATAAATATACTCTCCCTCATAATTGAGTAACCAGGGAAGAAGTCACAATAATTCTATAATTTACACAAAATCTATACATGTATTTGTCAAATCGACCATAAAAAGCTGAGAGGAACATGTGGCCTATGGACCTCTTATGTAAGTATTTCAAATATTAAATTCCATGCCAGTCTGAAAAAATCTTTTTAATAAAGACTTTTGTAAATATATATATATATATATATATATATATATATATATATATATATATATATATATATATATATATATATATATATATATATAGATGAAACAAACACACACAAAACAAAACAAGATGTGTTTGTAAAACAATGATTCCACCGTGTGGCAGTTCATGGCGAAGGTTAAAGTTTCCCAAATTCAAGTCAAAGTCCAAGGTCAAAATAAAGTTAGCACCCAAATAAAGGTCTTGTCAAAAGAAATATACCTGTTAATTACGACGGTTAAGGTCAAAGTTAAAGTTTTTTAAAAGTAGGCAAACTCCAAGGTACAGGACAAAAGCTAAATTGTGTTGGTTACGTATCCAAGAAAGGTCTTTTCAGAAGAAAAACGCAGATTAATATGAAAGCACTAGCACCAACCATTCAAGTTAGGACCAAGGTTAAGTTTTTTTTAAAAATAAGTTAAACTCCAATGTCAAAGAATCAAAATTGTTGGTACCCAAGGGAAGGTTTTGTCACAAGAAATACTCTTGTGACATTGAAATTCCTCTTACTAAAAATAAAAAGAAATGGCCAAGGAAAGATAACCTTTCAAAGTAGGTCAAACTCAAAGGCCAAGTTCAAAGGGTCTTAATAGTTGGTACCTAAGGGAAAGTCTTGTCACAGGAAATGCACAAGTGTATAATAAAAGCACTACCCAACCATTCAAAAACCATTGTCAATGTTAGAAATCTAGGAACTGGTTCTAGAAAAAAGTCATTCTTCGACCTCCATTTGACCTCAAGAGTAAAAATAAAAATTCCGAAACCTTATTGTACATCTACACTAATCATCTTATAACAGATGATTTGGCTACTTGGTAAAATGTAAGAGGAGTTCAGGGAATTAGATTTTTGAAAGCAAAAATGAACAAAAAATCATTTTTGCTCCCCATATGAGCCCTAGGGTAAAACTGAAAATTCAAAATCCTTATTGTACATCTAATGAACATCACCTATAATATTTCAAATGATTAATTGGCTACTGCTGAAAATAAAGAGGAGTCTGAGGAAGAGAAAGTGTGCCAGACGTACAGACCAGGATAACAACAATATACCCGAACCTTCCTTAGAAAGTGCGGGTATATAAAAATCAAGACTCCAAAATTTGACTTCAAATTCCAGTCCAAAACTCCAATCCATACCTTCAGTCCATGAATTACACGGTGCGATCAGGTGACAAGCTTATCTAGGTTACCTAAGTGTTTTCCTTGCGTAAAGAAATTTAACTATGCTTTACCACCTCACCTGTTTACTCAAAAATGTGCAGATCTTACTACATTTGTCATATTTTTAAAACTAGCTTTACTCCATATGTATACATTTAGAAAAAACCCACTTTGTGAAATGAATCGATTGAAAAACAAATTCTTAACAGCTATAGTAAAATGAGGAAACGTAGAATGCACCACTTTCCATTCATTAAAGCTAATTTATATAAATATCTTACAGATACACATTGCCTAAATTAATACAACTAATTAGCGTTCGAAATGTAAGGGATTTAAGGGGTCTTGGAAATTTTTTTAAGAGAAGCAAATCATTTATGGGAAAGTAAGTTAAACTCATTATATTAATAGCAAATTATATGAGCAACTGATTTGCTATATTACAACAATATATATGTATAGATATGCACATTTACTCTCAATGTCATTCTTGCTTGTATGAATATATTGTAATAGATAACGTTTTCTTCTTCAGGTATGTCAATTATGTATACAATATGTTATTTTGAAAATCTGATGCATTTGCTAGTGCAAAGAATAAAGGAACTGAACTGAACCAATGCATGGTTGTTATTTCTGAAGTTTCTTTCTCTTTGTTTTTAAGTCGTATATGATTCATCAAATTGTCCCCACTCGTTCTGGTGCTAATAATTAAACTGACACCCGGAAAGTAGAAATGACGCCCGGAAGAAGACTCTTCTACTCAGGTATAACTTTTCAAGAGACCGCCTCTGCCTCAAGTACACCCGGAATTTTCCAATTCCTACCAGATTCCACTCATATATTAAGCAGAATTGAAGATTGAAGATTCTGTGGTTTGTCCCCACCCAAGAGACCTCAGGGAGGCATAGACCATGAAATTCACAATATATTCCCCTTAAGCCAATACAGTTGGTTGAAATCAACATAGAATTTCCAAAGAGAAGAAACCGAAAAAAGGGACGAAAGACGACGGATGAAAACAAAGAGCAATTAGTCACCTGAGTGGCAGATGACCTAATTATAGGTATCTATCTAATTTTTTCTCTCATTTGTTTGTATTGTTTATGAACTATAAAATAATTTAGGCAAATATAAAGTATACAACGTTTAAATATCATAATTTTTGTGGTATTCTGAAAATGAGTTACTTAAAATTTGATATTTTCTTCACTTGTTTGTTTGCTTTTCAGCAACTTTTTTCTGTTATTTCTTTAATTGTAGTTTCATTGCAGGTATTTGATTTTCTTCACCTGCCTATTGGTATACTCAGCAACAAACAGATTGTTATTTGTATCTGTACACAGTCCCCAGGGTTCACTGAGTCCACATTCTATGTAACGGAGAAACTGTCCACCCTGGTCTATGATGTAGACACAATTATTGCAATAAGCAGCTGTAAGGTTGTGACTCTGACTGTCTGCTATGATTCCTCGTGGACTTAATAGGTTATTCTTTAGAGAAGGAGTAGGACCAGTAAACCTGAAGTTTAGTTTTCCAGTCATATTAACCACCACTATTGCATGAAATCCATTATCCGCCACACAGATATCCCGGTTTCTGTTCTCCGTAATGTGTTTGAATAAACTACCTGGTAAATAAAGGGGTTTACCTTTATCATCAAACTGAATTGATTTTTTCTCTGTAGAGCCAGAGTAACGGACAAGTTTTGTTTCATCTTCTCTTTCCATAATTACTAGGAGGTCACCAGAAGAGGTGGTACAGATAGTAAGCGGATTCCAGTTCTGCAGTCTGATGACCTCCTCTGTTTTTTCATTCTTCACAATGTTTACAGTTCCATTTTCTACAAAGTCCCTTAAAGGTGCTTGGACACAGATTTGAAGTTAATATTTTCTCACATTTTCTGTATAATTTCATGACTTATATGTTGCTATAGCATTTCATACTAAAATATAATAAAAATCTTATTTCATCTCGTAGTTATTGAAACTTCAAATTTCTGAACGCGTTTGATTGACGCATCCTTGCACTTTCACAAATTTTAATTTTATTATTAATACTTAAGAAAAGTGGCAATTTTGTTGTGAATTAATGAAAAAATATTAAAACTATAATCCAGAAAATTCAGAGTAGAAATATTCGAAAGCAAAACCCACTCACAGTATTGTCAGTCCGTGCTCAGTGGTGTGTGCATAGTTTAACAATTGAACACACCCGGTGAATCGTAAACATTAACAATAACAGAGCTCGTGCCCTGTTTACAAAAACAGTTTACGTTTCACGGGTGTATTCAATTTGTTAAAATCTGTACACAACACTGAGCACGGGCTGTCGATATTAGTGAGGGGGTTTGCTTTCGCATATTTCTAATCTGAATTTTCTGGATTACAGATGTAATGTTTTTCATTAATACACAACAAAATCGCTTCTTTTCTTAAATGTTAAGGATAAAGATAAAATTTGTGAAAGTGCAAGGATGTGTTAATCAAACGCGTCCAGGAATTCGTAGTTCCAATAATTTCCAGATAAAATAAGTTTTTAATTATATTTTCGTGTGAAATGCAATTGCAATAAATAAGTCGTGATATCATACAGAAAATTTGAGAAAATATTAACTTCAAATCTGTGTCTAAGCACCTTTAAAATTCATGTAATTTTTCATTTAAGCTAATGTATATGTGACCGTATTGTGTACAATGTATGTAGAACAACACTGTATGTTGCACTGTACACAATACATGTCCGTATGTTTATGTTTTTGTGCATGTGTAATGCAGCGTTTTCAAGGACTTAGTCCTGAGACTGAACGTATTGTTTACGACTAGTCTTACGCAACTTCGTGAAACGCAAATTACTCCCGACTAAATTTTGGCGTAAGCCCCGGAAGTACACCCGAGTTAGGTCTTAAATTTACGACTTTTGATGAAACGGGCCCCTGTAGCTGGTCTGAAAGAATTGGGATGGACGACCAGAGAGCTACGGTGCCACCCATTGAAAAAAGTGTAAATTTATTGCGCACAAAAAGTGCGCTGTTTCTCGATTTATTTCTCAGTATATCTCAAAATATTACTTACTGTATGTTCCTACCGTATTCTTTCACTTCTTCCACGACAAAACTGTATGTACAAGTCAAGTACGAAGTGCGTAAGACAGAATTATCTGACCATCCAAAATAGCAGTATATAAATAGGCGAAATTTCCGATGGTCTCGATTTCAGTGCCAGGAGGACTATTATTGACGGTTTTGGTGAATGTTTTGTTGTGGAAATAGTTAAATAATAGTTTCAGGTCTTTCATCATTCTAGATGGAAACTCGGCTTGGGGTGCACTACTTTTAACTTATTAGGTATTAACTTTTCAGTTGACCTACAAAAAATTACAAATTTAGATTATGGCATACAGATTCCAAAAATAAAAAGCATGCTACAACATTGGAAAAGAAGAATTCTAACACCAATTGGTCGAGTTACTGTGGTTAAATCTTTAATTATTCCAAAAATTAATCATTTGTTCATATCACTCCCTACTCCAGAAGGGGAGATAATTTCATCATTATGCAAAGATATTTTTGAATTTATTTGGAATGCAAAATGTGATAAAATTAAACGTACAGTTTTAATTCAAGATTATCAGCATGGGGGATTAAAAATGGTGGAAATTAGCAATTTTATTATGTCTTTGAAATGTTCTTTGCTGAAAAGGCTAATAGCAGGTAAAAAACCTTGGGTAGATATTTTTGAAGCTATAAATGGAACAGATTTTGTTCATGAATTTATTGATTGTGGTGATGCATTTATCTCTGAATGTGTGATCCCCCAAAACGACTGTTTTTGGCAAGATATTTTTAAGTCTATTCTTCATGTTATTAAATCTTTTAATAGTAAATTCTACATGGAAATTTTTCCTAGCATCCCAGTGTGGTACAATACAAATATTAGGGTTAGTACAAAAACACTGTTTATAAAAAGTTCGTATGAAAAGGGTGTGAAACATTGATGATTTTTTAGATAAGGAAGGAAATTTTCTACCACACGTTATTTTTCATCAAAAATTTGGTATTCAAGAATCCATCATGCAATATAACAGTGTACTGAGTGCAATATCAAAATATATGAAATCTTTTGTAAACAAAGATTTATTTAAAAGATCTTCTACTCCATATATTCCATTGTATTATAAATCTTTTCTTTTGTAAAATATATATACTAAAACTATATACAAACAATTAAAATGTAAATACTATTATTCCTACTTCTGTACGGAAATGGAATTTAGAGCTCAGCCATTATAGTGTAGAGGTTTGTGTTCAGGATGTTTTTAATGTTTGTTTTAAGACTACCAAAGACTCTTCAATCCAATGGTTACAATATAGAATTCTCCATAGAATTTTACCTGTTAATTATTACTTGAAAAAAATCAAATGCTGTATCATCTGATAACTGTTCAAGTTGAGACAATTTAACATATTTTTATTTATTGTGAAAAGGTATCCCCACTATGGAGTGATCTTAGCATGCATATTTATCAAATAACTTCAAAAAGAATTGGTTTTAATGTAATTAACATTTTATTAGGCAAACTTCCGTTGTCTAAAGGTAACAGCGTTGTAAATTTTCTGATCATGTATACAAAACAATATATTTTTTCTTATCTAAAAAAGGCAAACTACCAAACTTCCTGCAACTTCTCTTTCTCTTATACAATAAATATAGGATTGAAAAATGTATTGCAAGCCAGAATTTGGAAATGCAAAAGTTTAATAATACCTGGCAAAATTGGAAATGTTTATTTGACAATGTTAATAAGTTATAATATGTTACAATATGTAAGACTTTTTTTTAATCCTTATATTGATCTGTTGATGTATTTTTTTCTCCTCTCATTCTGTTAAATATAAGAACAAGTATGCTTCCACATACCAAAAAAAAATATGTGTGAGTGAGAAAGTGAGAGCGAATGGTGTGTAAAAAAGAAAAAGAATTTAGTAATGCAGTATGTATATGTTGGTAAACTTTTCCCGAGCAACATGAGATTTGGTGCCTAGCAAAGCGAGGGACCAAATCAAATGGCGAGGGAAAAGTTTAACAACATACTTAGTACATGTTTCACACTAGAAATTAAACCTTTTGTGTCTCTTTCTCTTTCATTACAAATCTTTGTGTGCTTCTTGTTATTTAATCAAGATAACGATGATTTGATCCTGTTGCCATTTTGTACAGGCCCAGATGTGATAATTATACCCTCAGGGGGTATATCTACCTGTCTGCAACAGGTCAGGTGAAGGTCTACAATGAGTAGTTTTCAAACACAATAAGTTCATTTCTGTAGATTCAAAATGTCTGTATAAAGATATTCATGTCATTTTTGATGGAGTCTTGAAGATATTTTAATTTACCTGATCATTCTATTTTGTCAATGAAAGTTAGAATTCTAGAAAAGATTTACCACCACACAAACAGCCCATCACTGAGTACACCTTTCCGTAGACAACGAGAAGAATTTTGGATTAGAAAGCTAAGGACAGCCTTTCCCTATGGATGTAATGACAATGTCGATAGTGTTGGAAATCTTTCCAGTCCACAGTGTAACAATGTAAATGTGATGGGACTTTTTAACCATACACATAGACGTAAGCGTAGTCATGGGCATCGGTCTTATAATAAACCTTTCATACACGATGTCTCTTTTGATTCATTACTACCTTACGTAAATCAACAGTTAGGTCTGCATCATATTCGCACCAAACTTTACTCTGTCCCTTTGAAACTTTTAAATAGTCTTCTTGAAAAGGTCAAGGAAAGTCCATTTTTTGATTCCTCGACACCAGAATATAGGCTCGGATCTGTGATTATGGATATTGCAAATCATAGGCTTTTTAAACCCTCACGTTTTACTGAGGAAAATGCAGCTAAAACAATCCGTTTTTTCCTTAAACTTCAATATGCCAACAAAGGAATTGACGCGGTTAATATAAGTAATATTCTTAATCACAAAAGGGTCCAGTCTTGTATTCCACCATATTTCAAGTTAAAGACTACACCTTGTATTTCCTACAAATATACATCGACTATTGCTTCCAATCTTTTTAATTACAAGAAAACTTTACAGGGCCTGGATATCGAATATCTGAAACATAATCCTCCATCGTGTTCATGTTCTTCTTCACCCTATAACTATAGTCCTCCTGGACACGTTATTACTGGTGACGTTAATATAGTTATTAATGAGGACCTTAGATCACTAATTTTAAAAGGTCCTAAATATAGGGAACCCCGATCCTTCAACTGGCGTCGGAATTTCATAAATATTATGGATTCTTTAGAGGACTACACCAGGCGATGGGCCAGACATGAAAAAGAAGACCTTGACACTTTGTCAGAATGGATTAAATGTATCAGATGTAAGTTAAAGTCGCGCATAAAAAGATTGAGAGGCAATATGAAAACCATCTATCCTTCTGTATTCAATAATCCAGAAGTGAAAAAAGAATTAGATTACATGATCAGTATGTACTGGTCCCTGCTGACAAATCAGGTAACAACAATGTCTTTGTTTCTAAGGCTCATTATATTAAATGTATTTTAGAGGAACTTGGATTTAATTCTACAAGTGGTAATCCAACTTATACTCATAGTTCCCTTTCTAAGGAAGAAATTCTCCAAAATCATATGTCAGTTTTGAATATTTTTAATATTCCAAACAACCAAAATGAATTTGAATTACCATATTTATATTGGATTCCAAAACTTCATAAAAATCCTTACATACAAAGATACATAGCGGGTTCCAGTAAATGTTCAACCAAGCCTCTTTCTTTACTCCTCACTAAGATATTAACAGTAGTGAAGGAGAAACTTCAAGAGTACTGTGCAACAATATATTCGAGAAGTGGTGTTAATCAGATGTGGATACTTAAAAATTCCAAGGAACTTTTGGAAAATTTGAAGTCACAAGATTTTACCAAAATCAACAGCTTAAAAACTTACGACTTTTCAACTTTATACACCACCATTCCCCACGATAAATTAAAGTCCAGGCTTTTTGATATCATTCCATGGTATCTACAAAAAAAATTACAACGTATAGATTTAATATTTAGGGCATAAGTTAGGGTGATCCAATCTGTGGGTTGTTTGTGGTTGGGGGGAATGTCTTTAACAATCGACATAAGAATGGAAATAGCCATTGTTAATTGACAATACGTCGTCGATATATCTAAATGTCGAGTTGAAGGCCACAGCAAGTGTTTTCTTCTATTCACGTACAAGATTTTGGACAAATTCTGCTTCATATGAATACAAAAAAGGTCTGCTTATAACAGGGCGCAATTGGTACCAATGGGAATTCCAATAGATTGTTGGAAGACCAGGACTGGGTTGCTCAAAACATTAGTTAATTTTGACCACTGGGTAAGTTAGCCGGTGGTTAAATTCTATATCCACTGGTCAACTAACCACTGGTTAAATATTTGTTGCTCAAAATAAAATTAGCCTCTGGTTAGATAACCACTGGTTAAATGATTTAACCAGTGGTTAGTATCCCACAATGCAGTACATTTGTCCACTTGTCAACCAAAAAAATGGCTACCATGGTAAATACAATGCGAGTAAAAAATGAGAAGTTATAATGTTACAACTGTATTGAAGAAGCGGAGAAACACCCATAGATGTACCAGTTATCAACACTAAACAAACGGTTTAAGTCACAAAAAGTCATGAAAGCACATGTTTGGCTAAAAATGCTGTATATTCAAGTGGAGGATCAATAAGAACATAGGGCGGTTTTGATAGGAAAATTAGCACCACGGCCAAGGTGGATAGTTGGCTGTGTAAAGACCGATGATGGTCATCATGGCCCTCATTAATCTAGTGTCGAAGATAATGCAAAGTGACTCGCCATATATCTCTTCGGAATTATTCGTATTCAATACTTGGCTATACTTAAAAGGTAAGTACATCAATTTGCATCGTTTCATATTCAAATAATAACTTATTGAACACCTTTACCTGTTATCACCATGTAAACGTCGTCTGCTATGTTTCCGAGGAAATTCGCACTGGTTACATTCTCGCTTTAAATGCCTTGCCAGAAGGAACTCACTTCAACGTTTTAAGTCAAACACTTACAAAGAAAAAAAAAACTTTCTTCACATTTATATCTGTCTTTGTAACACCGATAGTTGGTAGTCACTGCTATTTGCACTTCTGTGAATAACAGAAATGTCATGGTCGAATACATAGATAAAGTGAGTTCGTCACTAAGGCATTTCGCTCCGTACCCGTACACTGTGTAACTAA